TTAAATATATTTTGATATATAATAGAAATAATATTATAAATAACATAAATAATATTATATGTTTAATAATATATATACATTTAATATGTATAATCGGGGTCAGGGCGGGGTGGGGTGTGGACTTCACTCCCCATCCCCAATCAGGTATTCCTATTTATCCCATCCCCACCCTGCCCTGCTAAGGCAGTCTCCATCCCCATTACTGGTTGGTCGAGGAGGTCAGGTACTCGACAGGGATGGGAAAAATTGCCATCCCTACCCCTGGGTTGTGTTAGCCCCATAGCCTTAACATCTTTTTCTTCTACATCTGGATCCACTAACCCAACCAATAAGCCCTAACATCTTTTTCAATTAATATAATACTTTTAAATCCAACCAACCCATCCAATGTAGACTAACCCATCCCGGTTTGAGTTGTGCTAGGTTAAGCTCAAATTCAGCTTAAATTGATAAACTTGGACTTAACCTCGGATTGGGCCATGCAGGTTTACAACCCTTTAGGGTTGGATGTGAGTTGACCTACGATCCAACCCATCCCACTCGAGTTACACTACCAATGAATTTGAAGATTTTGAAAACGTAACTTCAGATTTTCTATTATAATTTTAATGTAGCCAGGAAGGCGGAAAGGGTGAAAAGGTAATGGTCTCAGTAAGTTTTTCGGTAGAGGAAGAGGAAATAAAAGCAACTTTATTTCAAATGAGCCCACACAATGATCCAGGGCCCGATAGGTATCCGAATTCTTTTTATCAGAGATATTGGAATGAAATTGGTCCAAATTTCAAAGAAGCAGTCAAGGAATTTTTTCAAAAGGGTCTTCTTCATAAAGAAATCAATAGTACTTTCATAGCCCTAATCCCAAAATGCAAAAACCCTGAAAATGTTTCCCAATTTTGTCCCATCAGTCTTTGTATTACCCTCTTCAAAACTATTGCCAAGATTATTGTAAACAGATTAAAACCCAATCTATCAAAAATCATTAGTAGAAATTAAAATGCCTTTCTTCCAGGAAGGATGATCTTTGATAATGTCCTAGTCTCCCATGAATTATCATTAGTAGAAATCAAAATGCATTTCTTCCAGGAAGGATGATCTTTGATAATGTCCTAGTCTCCCATGAACTAATACATTTCAGGAAAACCACAAAAACAAAAGAAAATTTCATGGCGATTAAACTATGTATAATAAGGCATATAACATAGTGGAATGGGGGTTTATTAAAAATGTGATGGAAATTTTGGGGTTTGGTCAACAAATTATCAATTGGGGTTTCATCTATATCTTATCAATTATTGGTGAATGGAAGCCCTAGAAAAAAGTTTAGTCCTTCTCGTGGGCTTAGACAGGGGGACCCCCTCTCCCCTTATTTGTTTCTTCTGGTGTTAGAAGTTTTATCAATTGCTCTCCATCAAGCTTACTCATTTGGCTCTCTCTGGAATTAAATGAAACCAAAATGTTCAGCAATCACTCGTTTGTTTTTTTGCAGATGATTCCTACATTTTCTCAAAAGCAAACATTACAGAGGGAGGAGCAATAATGGAGGTGCTAAAGCTTTTTTGGGGAGGCATCTGGTCAGAAGGTGAATTTTTTGAAATCTAAAATCTTTTTTAGTCGGAATCTCCATGCAAAACACCAAAAATCATCTCAAGAGTAATGAGCACGAAGAAAGTTGGGAATCCTTCAACTTATCTGGGCCTCCCTCCCTCTAGGTAGATCAAAAAAGAACATATTTAATTATTTGAATGAAAGAATGGAATAAAAAATAAATAGCTGGAAGCCTGCCTTCTTGTCGTCTGCAGGTAAAGAAGTTATGATAAAAGTCGTTCTTTCTTCGATTCCATCATATGCAATGTCTTTCTTTTGATCCTAGTAGCCACTTGGAAACAATTAGCCAGGTCTCAGAGGAAATCTTATGGGAGAGAATCAAAACCAAAGAAAATCCATGGGAGGGTTGGGATTTAGAGACCCCCAAGTTTTTAACTCAACACTACTGGCAAAGTTGGTCTCGAGGTTCTGTACAGATCAAGAAAGTCTGTGGACACAAGTCATTCATGGGAGATATCTTAAAAGGGGGAATTTCTAGAGTGTAAAAGCTCCCCCCAACAGTTCATGGGGTTTTAAAAGCCTTCTGGCAGGTAGGGATATTTTGAGAGAAGGGGCTTGTGGGAGTGTGGTTGAGGGGGAAAACCTCGACATTTGGGAGGACCCTTGGATCTGAGGGTTACCACACTTTAGACCAATGGGTCCAAGACCTAGGCTGGATAATGCAGGTAAGGTTAGTRATCTAATTGACCCACGGGATAAAAGTTGGAATGTACCAAAGCTGCAAAGCCTATTTGACCAAAATACAGTTAATAACATTACCAAAATGGTAATGGTCATTCCCAGAGCAAGGGGGGTTGATAAGCTCATCTGGACTCCTGACCCCAAAGGAGGTTTCTCTATCAAATATGCTTACCACTTAGCAGTCAGTAAAACATTTGGGCCCCTAGCAGAAAGCAACTTATCCCCTCTATCAAGCAAGTTATGGAAAGAAACTTGGGCATTAAAAGTCCCTCCAAAACTAAAGCATTTTATCTGGAATTGCTGCCGTGAAAGTATTGATGTGAATCAGGTTCTGACTAGAAGGAAGATTAAAGCCGAGGAAACTTGCCCAGTGTGTGAAGGAGAAAAGGAGAGTATATTGCATGCACTTTTCTCCTTTAATCACGCAAGGGCTACTTGATTAGGAAGTAATTTAAGCTTATATGTTGAAAATATTTCTTCTTTCAGAACTTTTGCAGAATGGTGGGCTTGGTGGCTTAGTCAAGAACCTCAATTAATAGAAACAACAACTTCTATTCTTGAATTCTCAGTCATTATCATTTGGTGCATTTGGAAGGCCAAGAATAGTTATGTCTTTGAAGGATCTTTACCTAATCCTGTTACAACCATTTATATTGCTTGCAGGTGGATGATGAAAGTGAGGAGAGTTTCCCCTAAAAAATTAACAGACTCTTCTCAATCTGAGCAAGTTCAGAAATGTAATTTTTTGGATGTTTGGACTACTACTACAGGTTGTAAAGCTATGACAGAAGAAAGCTTTGGTGCTTTAGGTGAAAGTGGTTATGATTTCTGGTTATCAAGTGATTCAAGCACTTTTTTGGTTGCTGCTTGTGGTCCTTGTGAAGTTGTTTCAGCAGAATTTGCAGAAGCTTGGGCTGTGTTAGAATGTTGTAAGACAGCAAAAGATTTGGATATTTTGAGTATTACTGTTTTTTTGTGACTCTATGAACTTAGTAAATTCTATAAATCAAAAGAATTTCTATAGCTGTCCTGATGTGTGGTCACTACTTCATGATTTACATGCTTTGGATGGCATTGAGATAATTCTAGCTCATGTAAATAGATCCTTCACCTACTAGAATTCCCATGTTTAGAGGCACATGGCCAAAGACGGTCAAGAAAAACTGCCTCTACAAGATATTAACGAAGGCAGATGTATTGGATTATTTTAGAAGCACTTTTTAATGCCTCAAATTATATAATTGTCCAAATATTTTTTTGGCGGACTAAAAAACAACAAGCTCACATCCTCTGCATCGTGAATTCGTGATTGCAGAAAAAAATCTGCAACCTCAAATAACAATCCACCACGTCACGTATTGTAACGGAGGGGTGGAAAAGTCATAGTTAACGGCCGTTTTGGCCAAAAATAAATAATTTATTATGTTGTAAAAATTTGAACACCCGCCCAGTCGACTTTTTTGTTTTTTCTTCTTCTTCCCTACCGATCTCCCCCTCTCTTCCCCATTTTTGTTTTTTCTTCTTCTTCCCTCTTCCTCCAAATCGGCAAACTAAATAAACACTCAGACCGGGCCACGGCTTGCTCAAAGGAACCCGTTGCAACCACCGGACAAGGTTCTATGAACAACCACCGGTGAACCACCAAAGCCACTGCAACCACCTCTGCAAACGTGAATCTCTGCTGATTTTTTTCCTCGCCAACATCATTCTTCCATTGTATTCTATTCTCACTCTGAGAAATTAGTTAAAACCTTCTTAAAAAAATCTTTCGTTGCCCGATTACCATCGATGATGAACAATCCAAAAAGAGTGATTGAATGCATATGATGAAGAACTAAAATGCATATATATATGCACATCAAATATTTTTAAGGATACCCTCCTTTGTCCTCCTTCACCTCAATGTTCGTCTCTCGAACCACTACAACCACAACCCGCCGGCAGCTTGAGGACCAATGTCTCTCTCTCTCTCCTTTATTCTTATCTCCCTTGCCTCTCTCTCTCCCCTCCTTTGTTCTCCTTCAATGATAGTAACAGAAAAATAGCAAAAAGTATGATAGAAAGGAGAGAAAGGAACTTARTAGTTTGAAAGAAAAAAATTTAGTAGATATATTCTGTTGATTCTCTCATATGTTACGTGAACCGACTTATATTGGAAGAAGACTGACAGTAACTTACCTTGGGAGAAGAATCGACTAACATTGGAACTAACTTACTTTGGAAGATGTAACGACTCACATTGGAAAGAAACTAGCATTGGAAGTGAGCTTGACTTCATTGTTCTTCGAAAGGGTTGATTTAATGCTTCTCAAAATGTGTAGCAACATTTAATACTCCTCCTTGGTGCATATTTCAGCAACTCCAATCATGTCACGTAACAATTCGAACTTGCCTCTCGGTAGTGCCTTTGTGAATATGTCTGCTAATTGTTCTTCAGTTTTGCAATATCTGAGTTCTATTTCTTTGTTTCTTTCAGCTTCTCTGATAAAGTGATACTTGATGCCAATATGTTTGGTTCTGCTGTGAAATATGRGATTCTTTGMCATTGCAATAGYWGATTTGCTATCGCAGTAGATTTCAGTAGCACCAACTTGTGGTTCTCCCATGTCATCAAATATCCTTTTGAGTCATATAGCGTGGCTCGTTGTTATTGCTGATGCAATATATTCTGCTTCAGCTGATGATTGGGCAACTGTTGCTTGCTTCTTTGAAGCCTAAGAAAATATCCCTGATCCAATTGTGAAAGCATAAACAGATGTACTTTTCATGTCATCTACTGAACCTGCCCAATCACTGTCTGTATAGCCAATGAGCTTAGAGTCATGTGTGACTCTGTACCAAATTCCATAGTTCTTTGTACCTTGCAAATACCTTAGTATTCTTTTAGCTGCTCCATGGTGGACTTGATTTGGATTCTGCATGAATCTTGATAGCAGACTAACTGCATACATGATGTCTGGTCTTGTAGCAATTAAATAGAGGAGACTTCCAATCATACTCCGAAATTGTGATTCATTTGCCTTTGGTGAGCCATCTTCCTTTTTGATTGCTTTGGTGTTGTCTAATGGGGTAGAGACTGTTTTGCACTCCTCCATTTTGAATTTCTTCAAAAGAGTTTCTATATACTTCTTTTGTGAGATGAAGGTCCCTTCTTCTTCTTGAGTTATTTCAATTCCAAGAAAATAGTGCATTAGGCCAAAATTGGTCATCTCAAAAGTCTTCATCATGTCTTTTTTAAACTTATTGACCATCTTCTCATTATTTCCTGTATAAATGAGATCATCGGCATATAGAGAAACAATGAGAGTGTCATTTGTACCTTGAGTCTTGATGTAGAGTGTTGGCTCACTATAGCTCCTCCTGAATCCTTACTCCAAGAAGTAATTGTCGATTCTGCTGTACCAAGCTCGTGGAGCTTGTTTTAATCCATATAATGCCTTCTTTAATTTGAGAACTTTGTCTTCTTGTCCTTGCACCACGAACCCTTGAGGTTGCTCCACATAGATTTCCTCCTTAAAATAGCCATTGAGGAATGCTGATTTCACATCTAGTTGAAAAGTTTTCCATTTCTTCTGTACAGCTAGTGCTATCAATGCCCTGATTGTGTCAAGGTGAGCAACTGGAGCAAATGTCTCATTGTAGTCGATACCATATTGTTGTGAGTATCCTTTGGCAACTAGCCTTGCTTTAAGCTTCTGGATTGAGCCATCTGAGTTAAGTTTTGTCTTGTAGACCCACTTAACTCCAATAGTGTCTTTGTCTTGTGGACGATCCACAAGCTCCCAAGTCTCATTTTTTTCGATCATTTTTATCTCTTCATTCATAGCTTTTCTCCATTTTTCTTCCTTAAAGGCTTCTTCAAAGCTTTCTGGTTCTATGATCATTAAGTTGCATGTTTCATATATTTCTGTTAAGGATTTAGTTTGCCTTGGTGGTGAGTCCGGAGTAGATTGTGAAACTTGTTCCGGTTCTGATTGTGTTGGCGAACTGGTTTGATCATGATCTTCTTCAATTCCTTGACTTGGTAATAGGGGCAAGTTGATAGTCTTCCTTTCAATTTCTTTTGTCTCCCAATTGTATGCAGCATCCTCGTCGAAGCTTATGTCTCAACTAATTATGAGTTTTTCTTTTCTTAAGCTATAGACTCGATAGCCTTTTGATTGAGTGTTATAGCCTAAGAATATTCATTTCTCAGTCTTCTCGTCCAATTTGCCTCTTTTCTCTTGTGGGACGTGTGTGTAGCATATGCACCCAAAAACTCTGAGATGCTTTGTTGATGGCTTTTGCCCACTCCAAGCTTCAATTGGTGTCCTATCTTGCACAACTTTAATTAGACACCTGTTGAGCAAATAGACAACAGTGCTTACTGCCTCTGCCCAAAAAATTTTGGGAAGACCCTTTTCCATGAGCATGGCTCTTGCTGTCTCCATAACTGTTTTGTTTTTTCTTTCGGATACTCCATTTTGTTCTGGAGCATACCCGACTGTGAGTTGATGCTCCATGCCTTCATTTTCACAGAACTTGTTGAATTCATTAGAAGTATATTCTTTGCCTCTATCACTTCTTATGGTCTTGATGTTGTGACAACTTTGCTTCTCGACACGGGCTTTGAATTTTTTAAAAACATCAAAAACCTGCGATTTTTCTCGCAAGAAATAAACCCATGTCATTCTAGTATAATCATCAATGAAGAGAATGAAATACCTGTTTTGATTATTTGATGGAGTACRCATTRGACCACAAACATCTRTATGAATTAACTCTAGTGGCTCTTTGGCTCTCCAAGCTTTGCCGGATGGGAAGGGTTGTCGATGTTGTTTTCCGAGCATACACCCTTCACAAACATTGTTGAACTCCTTGACAGCTGGTAGGTCACGCATCATGTTCTTTTGCTGAAGAATCTTTAATCCATGGAAATTAAAGTGCCTGAATCTTCTATGCCATAGCCACGACTCGTCCACTTGTGCTTGCATTGCTATATAACTTGCATCTCTCCATTGAATGGGAAAACATCTATTTTCTGTCATTTTTATTTTTGCAATATCAAGGGACTTGTCTTGCTTGTCATAGATTGTGCAAGAGTTTCCCTCAAAATGTAAAGAGTAATCTTTTTCAATCATTCGGCCCACACTGAGTAAATTTGGATCAATGTTGGGAACCAAAAGCATCATTTATGTATTTCTTGCCTTGTTTGGTGTCAACAACAATGATGCCTTTGCCGGTTGTTTCCATGAAGTCTCCATTACCAATTTTGACTTTTGTCTTGAGTTTATCAAGACTATGAAAGATGTTTTCATTTTTAGTCATATGGTTACTGCACCCACTGTCAAGATACTAAGTATCCTTTTTTCTTCTATTGCAAAATGACAAGCATAAAAGATATTATTTTCCTCATTTTTATTTTCTGAAAAATTAGCTTAATGGGTTTTCTTCAATCTACAAGCTTTTTCAACATGGCCGAATTTTTTACAATTTTGGCACTATGGTTTTCCTTTAAAGCAGCAATCTTTCTCCAAGTGGTTTCTCTTCTTACAAATACCACATGAAGAATACTTGTCATTATTTTCTTTTGGTTTTCCTTGTGACTTTCTCCCATCAACTTTTGGTTTATGAGACCGCAGATTAACTTTAGACTGAAAGGCAGTCTCAACCGAATTTTCATTCTGCCTATCATGCCTATTTTCATATGTCTCAAGATAGCCCATTAATTCAGTTGGTGATAGTGTTTCTAGATCTTTTGTTTCTTCTATCATTGAAATTATTGCATCATATCTCTCTATACAAGAGATTAGAATTTTTTCGACTATTTTCTTGTCAGAAATAGTCTCCCCATAGGCTCTCATTTGATTTACTATTTCTTTTATTCTAGAATAGTAATCTTTTGCAGTCTCATTATCCTTCATCTTAAGATTTTCAAAATCCCTTCTAAACTTCTGCAATTTAACAATGCATACCTTGACAGTTCCTTGAAACTCCTCCTGCAATGTGTCCCATGCTTCTTTTGCAGTTGATGCACCCATGATTCGAGGAAATATCTCCTCAGCCATTGCTTGCTACAAGCAAAATAATGCTTGGCAATCCTTTTGTTGATTCTCTTCATAGATCTTCTTTTGATTTGCTGAGAGAGCAGAAGTATCTTCAGCAATGCAGAAACCTTCCTCAACAATTTTCCATAGATTTTGTGACCGAAAATAGGTCTTCATTTTAATGGACCAGAAGTCATAGTTTTCTCCATTGAAAATTGGAAGAGAAAGAGTAGAGCGATTGGCGTCAGCACACATAATGGTTAGAAGAAATTACGCCCAGAAAATTGATCGGACAAAGCTCTAATACCACTGATAGTTTGAGGATGATAGTAATAGAAAATTAGCAAAATGTATGATAGAAAGGAGAGAAAGGAACTTAGTAGTTTGAGAGAAAAAAATTTAGTAGATATATTCTGTCATTTCTCTCAAATGTTACGAACCACTACAGGAGGGAGGAATTTATAATAGATAGAGTCGCTTGAAGGTGAACCGACTTACATTGGAAGAAGATTGACATTAACTTATCTTGAGAGAAGAATCAGCTAACATTGGAACTAACTTACTTTAGAAGATGTAACGACTCACATTAAAAAAAAACTAGCATTGGAAGTGAGCTTGACTTCACTGTTCTTCGAGAGAGCTGATTTAATGCTTCTGAAAATGTGTAGCAACATTTAATATTCAACCACCGTTGTCATTGTCCGAACCAAATTCAGGTTACTGTTTTGTTCAACAAGAAGCTTTTGAAGCAGAGATGAGGGACATTCTAATAATGATTACTTTTGAAGAGATAAGGAGATAAGGATGGAGTTCTGTCATTTTGGAATTAGATTGCCTTCTGTTGTTCCTCAGTCATGTCTTCCAATTTTAGATGATATCAAATATTTATGTGACAATGTCTCAATTTGTTGCTTTGATAATTTGAATTTGAACTAGTCTTTGTTACCATAATGAAATGTTATTTCTATCCATTAATAAAAATCCAAGTTGATTATTTCTATGGGTCCTCTTTTATCTGGGATGCATTCCACGATGGCTTATTAACATCCATTGACCCATGAACCAGAACCCCCAAACAGAGACAATCTCCTATTTCTTACCAGTCTCAAGTTCGTTGAAAACAACTAAAACTAAAGTTGTATCAAAGAGAATACAAGCCATTTATGTTGGACAATACAAGAACGGTTGGAGATAGAGAAGACCCAGCAAGCTTTACAATGTCTTTCAGCACAAAAAAAAAAAAAAAGAGAAAACTAAAAAGAATAAAACTTCGTACACAATGTCTAAGGTTCTTAAACAAATGCTATTTATCGGACTTAGGGAGAGAAAAATGTTTGTGGTCCTCAAGCCACTGGTGGTTGCGCTTGTAGTGGAGTGGTTCGGCGATGAGTGTTGGGTTGAAGAAGAATGAATGATTTGCTCTAGCTTCGGCCTATTTTGTTTTATTTTATCACATGCTGCTTTAGTAGAGAAGGAGAACTAAGGTGGGGAGTTTCTCTGACTTTGGAAGTTTGGAGAAAATGAAGGCGGTTGCCGATTTGGAGGAAAAGGGAAGAAAAGTTGTTCCAGTTGAGTATTGGGTTACCCATTTGGACAAAGAGGGAGGAAGAAGAAAGAACAAAAAGGAGAGATACCGATTGGTAGAGATTGTGTGTACCGGTGGCACAACCATCCCCGGTGAACGGTGGAACAAGGAGAGGAGCAGAGGAGGCATGACGAGCCAGAGAAAGAAACAGGGAATCTGAAAAAAAGGTTTGGCGGGTATTCAAATTTTAATAAAATAATAAATTATTCATTTCAGTCGAAACCGCCGTTAAATATTCCTTTCCACTGCTCCATTACGTTAAATGACACGGTGGATTGTTTCTGCAACCACGATGCAGATGATGTGACAACAGTGCTGATTTAGTTTGGCGCCCAAATACCATCGCCAAATATAGTGTCAACGAATGACTATTCGTTTTCTCGCTGCAAGTAAATGAGGTTCGTTCTTTTCTTTCTTCCTCCCCTCTTTGCCCACTTGGCTCCATAGTTCGATGATGGTGCAAGGGAGCTGTTTAATCAAGGATGCTCAGAAGCCCCCTTAGTCTTAGTTTCAATCTGGTTGGTTCTGTTTTTTGTGTTGATGTTCTCTGTTTTTCTTTGGTTGTTGTTTTCTCAATAGCAGTTTTTTAACAAAAAAATAAAGTTCTTCGGTGCTTAGAAGACTGTGATCACACTGTTTGCACAGCTTTTTTACACCATACATTTAGAATATCTGCATATTAATATGGGAGTTATTCCCGATGCAAGGATGCAAGGGATTATGCGATTGGTGTAACCATGTTCTTGCGAGCACTAACTCGATTTCCTGCCATAGTGCCATTGACAAAAAAAAATAGGGAAAGTTTTAACGACTACCATAAACTTTAGAGAAGGTTCCAGCAAATTACTTTAAAAGTATCGGCACCCATTGATTGTAGAGGCGTTGGCTGTGAACAACGTTCAAAGTATCCTAAATGTAAGTGTATTAGAAAGGCAATTTTAAGAGATGTAGCGGGATATGTTTTGGATATGCATGCATATGGGAGAAAAACTAAAATATGCATAAATACACTTAGAAACATTATAAATACTTAATAAATCATAAAAATAAATCAATAACATTAAATATAAGACCTCAATGAGGTGTATATGCATTAAATTAATATATTTTAATGGTTTATGAAGAAATATATTATAGTTAATTATAATTTCATTAAAAATCATATGCTTAACTATAATTTATAAATTATAATTCTTAAGTTTTAATGTTTTATAGGATGGGAAAAACTCAACTCTCCTATCCCACCATAAAACATGCATTAGCACAACTTCTAAGTGAAAATATAATCAATAATTATTTATTATTTATTTTCAAGAATATAAAAAATAAATAAATATTATATAATATATTCAAAAAATAGTTATTAAAGAAGAAATTTCAATTGCTTTGTGGATATGATAGATCATCCATAGAATTATAATATATTCAATCATTGTGATCAAATGATAAAATATAATTAATTATTTATTTATATTTTAATTTTAAAAATATAAAAATAAAAAAAAATATTAAATAAGAAATTTCAATTGGTTTGTGGATATGATAGATCATCCATAGAATTATAATATATTCAATTGTTGTGATGAAATGATAAAATACAATTAATTATTATTTATTTTTAATTATAAAAATATAAAAAATAAAAAAATACTAACGAAGAAATTTCAATTGCTCTATGGATATGATAGATAAATCCATAGATCTAAAACATATTTAGTCTTTATATGCAAAGAAAAATTACATTTTCAAATTTTTTATTAATTTATATTTTCCCTAAATATCTTCATGAAATTTCCATAAATTTATTAATAACACAAAAAATTATGATTTTGAATGTAAGAAATGTAGATCAACATAAAATTAAACATTCAAGAAAAAAAGAAATCACAAGATATTATAAAAAATTGAAAAAAAAATGTACCTATTTTTGCTATATTTTTTCAAAATTTGAAAAATTTTCAAAAAAATTAACGATTCACACTTGTTTCTTGCAAATTTTTGGAAATCTAGCACTCTAAGAATGAAGTTTGGAGTTTTATAATCATTTAGGGGTGAAATAAGGCTTATTTCATGGAAAAGAAACTTGCTTTTCTCCTTTATTTTTTTTTTCAGATTTTGGTTGTATCTTTTTTGTCGATACGCCCCAATACACCCTCGATATGCCTCGATATGCCCCTGGTACGCCTTGATATGGTCCGATACGAGTCCAATATGCATGAAAAAAAGATGAGACATCCGATTTTCATGTGTATCCCGTATCTGGTTTTGAAAGATACGCTACGCCTGTATCCTGTATCGGGCGTATCATATCAAAATTTTAAACCTTGGCTGTGAGATAGATGCATCTGTCAATCAAGAAGCTCTAGCACTGTATCGAAACCTGTCAAATGACATGAATGAAACGAAACATATAGTATGTGTTTGGTTCCGTGGGTGTTCCATGGGTGTTTATGGATAGGCCATTTGTTTGTACTTTTTCACTTTAAACGTTTGTTTGTACTTTTTTACTTTAAACGTTTCTTGTTTTTGTTGTTTGGTTGGATTTCACTTTAAACGTTTTTTGTTCTCCACCTTAGATTAATACCCATTAAAGTATGCCACATCAGCATTTGGTTTCAAGAAACGTTGGGGCGTTGGGGGAAAATAAGAATTTGATGTTTCCCCAAATGCCCCATGCACAAAGATGAAAGCGTTTTAATTTTCTACCATTTATTTGATAAACGGTGAAACCAAACAGTTGTTTCAGTCTTGTTTCATATGCAATAAATGCTAATGCCTATGTGGCACTGATGTGGCAACGTTTTTTCAATAAACGCACATGGAACCAAACATAGCAATTGTTATTGAACTCATCAGTCTCCCCAGTTCTATTTCCAATTAATCCAACAAAAAGACTGACCTTGACAACCCGGTCATTTGAGTCGGCTCAAGTTGGTCCTTCCCCAAATATACTCATGTTCGTGTTCATGTAACTGAGTGGTGAGTATAACGATGATGTTTTACACTGAACCATGAAGAAGTGATCGTTGCATTTTTGAAAAACATGATATAATTAGTATAAAGTTTTACATCGATAATTGATGTAAAACTTCACTTTTGATGAGGTTTTACACCGATTCATGACATAAAACTCCACTCCATCCAAACACATGCAAAACTGAATGGGATGAAATTTTCCATCAATCATGATTACACACTTCTTCCAAACACCAACAAAATTGAACCGACCTTAACTTATACATTGTTCTTGATTTTATCCGATTTCAAACGCAGCCTCAAGACAAATGATGCAATCCACGATAAAAAGAATATGCAACCCACGTTAAAAGAGTCCGTATCTGCTCACGGGCGCCTCACACTGACCTAACAGTATATCCTGATCACACATCGAGAATAAAGAATACTTCTATTTATTATTCTATTCATGGGAGATGGGCCGTGTCCCTTTTACATCAGTACATCCATCTCATTGATCATACGGTCATTGGCAACGAGAAAAAAGAAGACCAGATCTGCTCTCAAAGGTGAAGCGCTTCGCACACGCGCACATCCTATCATGCATCGTGCATCGGTAACATTTCCCGTATTTGTTAATTATTATTCACGGAGGAGCATATCTCGTCTCAGAAAAAAGACTAATGCCTATCGTTAAATGCATCAAAAAAGCGAGAACCGTGATAAGCAAGTTGAGTTGTGTTGGCTTTGGGCCACAACTCCAATTTATGTGCTACTAACCTACTACCATTTACGTGTCGAGTCGAGGTCGAGGAGTCAAATCGCTGGAGTCCAGATCTGCTGTACACTCACAGCTGCTGCATAGGCTTTTGCATTTATTTACCCTGTTTTAAACTGTAATTGGCGGTCGTACCTACTTCAAATTACGTCAATAGACTCAATACGTCCTCCTTATTACTTAACTTTTAAAAAGAGAGAATTAAGCCATTACAGTTGAACACTTTGAAATCATGTCTCTCTTCTTCTTCTTCTTCTTCTTGTCCTACTCTTCCGCTTTATCTCTGCCGACAGCCCTTCTCACACCCATTACCAAAGACCCATCTACTCTCCAGTACACCGTTACTGTTAACCAGAAAACCCCCCTCAAACCCGTTAAATTGCTCCTCGACATCGGTGCCTCTTTCAGTTGGATCGACTGCGACAACAACTACAACTCCCAAACTTATCAACCCATCCCCTGTAACTCATCCCTTTGCGTTTCTCTCAACTCCCTCGCTTGCTCCAATTGCTTCCATGCACCGGGGCCCGGCTGCGCTAACGACTCCTGTTCACTCTTCCCTGAAAACTCAGTAACTCGGGAAACCACCGTAGCCGAAGCTCTCATCGACTCGCTCGCCTTGCCTACCACCGATGGATACAACCCCGGCCGACTCGCACTGATAGGGGATTTTGTGTTCTCCTGCTCTCCAACTTCTCTGCTCAAAGGTCTCGCACAGGGCGTCACCGGGTTAGCCGCATTGGGTCGGTCGAACTTTTCCCTCCCGGCGCAGGTTAGCAATGCCTTCTCTTCGCCTTACTTGTTTGCTCTATGTTTGTCCAGTTCTGCATCAGCTCCTGGTGTCGCGTTCTTCGCTACCGGCGGTCCCTACGTGTTCCTTCCCGAAATTGACCTCTCCAAATTCCTAATTTATACTCCTCTTCTTCTTAATCCGGTGGGAAACACCGTCATTACCTACGCAGGACATCCGTCCGATGAGTACTTCATAGGAGTTACTTCMGTCAAAGTTAACGGAAAGGCCCTAGAATTAAACAAGACGCTTCTGGCCATTGATCAGAACGGTTTTGGTGGGACCAAAATCAGCACCGTCGTTCCCTACACCACGATGGAAACTTCGATATACAAAGCCTTGACGGCCGCTTTTATCACGGAGGCAGCTTCACTGAATCTCACCMTGACAGACCCATTGAAGCCTTTCAGCGTATGCTACGCATCAAACGATGTTTTCAGTACGAGAGTGGGACCGGCTGTTCCAACCATTGATCTGGTGATGGAGAGAGATGACATATTTTGGAGAATCTTCGGGGCGAATTCAATGGTCAGGATGGTTGGGGAGAAGGAGGAAGAGGTGGTGTGTTTGGGGTTTGTGGATGGTGGGGCCAATCCTAGGACCTCGATCGTGATAGGAGGACACCAGATGGAGGATAATCTACTTCAGTTTGATCTGGGGATGAAAAGGGTTGGGTTCAGTTCTTTACTACTGATCAAGCAGACCAATTGTGCCAACTTCAATTTTACTTCTAATGATAATCTCAAATAAAAAATTATTATGAATTCTGTATTTGTTTGTTTCGTATTTTAGGTCTATAGTTTGCGTCTATTTTTTAGGCCAAGGAGGAAGGTCCTTATTTTCTTCTATAGGCGCGCAATGGAGAATAGACAAAAAGTCCACAACAAAGTCGTGAACCCAAGACACGACTAGTATTGGGCCCTGGTTTAAAGGAATAATATTGGGCCCCCGCCACGTGCTTAGGTTTGTATACCTTTGGGCCGGCGATCTATTTTAAAATTTAGTTAGAGAATTATGCCTTGTTAGTTTAGGAAGAAGCTATTTATCCAGGTAAGTGTATTTAATTATTCATATTCTTTTCTGTTAAATTTATTTAGGCAGACGTGGAATCTCAATTTTCTCATGTTGTTTTGTCTTACACACTTTTTTTATTAATTTGGCTGCAAAAAGATTTCKGAAAGGGAGTATAGTCCAAAAATCCCTAATTTTTATAAAGTGATACTTGATGAACCTTAAAAAAGTAATTAAGGGTGTGTTTTATATTTATGTTTTTGTTTTCATTTGTTTCTTTAAAATGCAACAAATGTTTCTGAAATCTGAACCATGTTTTTTGTTTTTTGTTTTTTAAACAAAAACAAGTTGGCTTTTGATAATCATCTTTATTCTTTATTGCACAAATGCACGCTTTACCTGTTCCAAACTCAGCCACCATATACAATAAATTGGCAATCTAGACTGTCACGAGTGTGTTGGTTGTTTGCACTAATAGTCCCGATTGAGTTTGGATAGTACTCATAAGGATGGTAACGGGTGGGGTTGGGGGAGGATTTTGTAAGTTTTATACTCTTCCTATCTCCTCAAGCTTTCCAACTTGTAATTTCTTGAAAACTAGCAATGGGTTGAATTTTCAAAATCTAAACTGTTCCTGTACATAAAAATACAAGACCCTCCTCTGGCCCTACTGGCCTACTCTTCTTGCATTTAAGAGTAGGGCAGGTTGGATTGGTGAGTTGGGTCTAGAATCATGTTTAATTTCTTGGTATTTCATGTAAGTAATAAATAAGAAAAAATACAAATAAATATCAAAAATTTCAATTATTCCATTAAAATATATAAAAAACACAAATTTTCATTTATCCTTCACATAAGATTCAAAACATTATTAAATCTAACATATAATATATAAGTTCATATGCCTTACAACAATAAAGTTAATAAGCAGCACTTAATTTTTAAGTTCATAATTCATAAAATCTGAGACAGAAACCAATACTAATCAATGGTCGTCAGGTTTAGCCTTAATACTATATTCTACCTTTACCCATACTGATTTCAAAATCCCAATACTCATTCCCGTCCCAAAATTCATTTTTAAAACTAAAAAAACACCCCAAAACTCATCCCCTTCCCAAAGTCCATTTTTAAAACTAAAAAAAAAACTCCATTGAGATATAAAGATTATTTATCTGACTGGGTGGAAATTGTCATCCCTAAGTTAGCACTCACTCATCCAAAGTATCAAATGGAAGTTGAAAAAAAAGAAAAATTAATGATTTTTTAAATAAAGAAAATTTAAAGAGTGAATAAATGAAAAAGACGATGTCTTGTTAGATGATTGTCCTTTCTTTCATGAGAAAATAAATCTTATTCAAAGTAATAGTTGAAGTAAAAAATAAATTAGGGGATTGGCGTATACGCTGTACACTGTACCAAATAGCAACCCACACCAAAGACAAAACAAAACAAAAGGCTCTTTCAAACCAATGTTTTCTTATATGTTTTGGGTAAAATATAAAGAACTACAGCTTATGTGCTTTGGGGTAGTGACACTTATCTACTCAAATGAAATAACGCTACCTTTTCTTTTAGATTTCAATACTCTATTCTCTCGTTGTTAGCATTTAATCAGTTATAAACTTTTATAATACTCTTTTGCTTTCTCTTTTAGTGTATCTCCAAAACTTAAGTTTTGAATTTTTCCTTTTTTTTTTCATTTATTTAAGAGAGAGAGAGTGTTTAAAGACATAAATGTCAATCATCGTTGATTTTAACCAATTTAGAAAACTCACAAGTCATAAAACCATTTGCATACGTTCTCATCTACGAGCCTATGAAATGATCTTTGCATACTTCAATACCTGTGGATGCTTCAAAATTCAAGTTTCGAAATTTTTTTTATCTTCTTTCATTTTGTTATTTTTATTTGTTTAAGAGGAGATGAAGGAGAGTTAAAAGAGATAGAGCATCCACAGGTATACAATAAAGGAGAGGATTAGATGGTCTTATAAAAAATGCTCATGGGAATAAGAGTGTTTGAGCGGGTGTTGTGTAGTGTGGATGAGAAATTGGTGGGTGTGGACTAGTCCACATCACACCCTGTGGTAGGGACCAATCCTGTTATGGGCCCGTGCGTAGGATTTCGTCACGGGGCGGTTTGCTGGAAAAACTCCTTGCCTTCCCTTTGCGAGTTGACCCTATAATGGCGGACCGAGGGGTGATTTGTTCAAGAGATCACCCAACTCTCCTTGTTCTCTTCTTGACTGAAAATTCGATACCTTTATTGAATAAATCAGCTCCTTAAATAGGAGATTACAGGAGGGTTTCCTTCTTGTATTCGGCTAAGGTAGTCCCTCTCTTATCGCAACTTAAACTTCTATCGAAACTCAAACTCCTACTTCTAAGGGAAACACAAAAATAGGGGATAAGGGAAAGGTACAACTGGCGTGTGGGCCCCGCTCTACGTCGGCGTGCATGACCCACCTTGCTGCTGCTGTGAGGTGCATGCTGTTGCCGTGTGGTGCATGCCGCTGCCATGCGGTGCGTGCTGCTGCCCAGTGCTGTTGCCGTGCGGTGCATGTTGCTGTTGGGCGGCTGACAGACTGTACCACGGCGCGCTGCCGGGTGGTGCGTGCCGCTTGTGCCGCGGCACGCTGTCGGGCAATGCGTGCCGCTAGGCGCGCTGCTGCCTATGGTTGTGACGCAGTGTGTTGCCGGGAGTCATGTCCATAACATTACACCCCTCCTGGGCAACGAGCTTGTCCTCAA